TTCGTTCAACATGACTTGTGTCAGATAGTGGAACGAATCCAATTCAAAATTGTACACGATGTATAGCGACATTATCCTCTCTATCAATACCGCACCGTTATGTTCAAAAGGAATCGGGATTACTCTATAGAACTGCGATGACTGTCTGTTGAAAAGGGGTATCTTCAAGTCGATCACCAATTGTGTGCCGATGTACATTCCACGTCCCCTCATCAAATGTAAAACCTCCTTAAGTTCTGTACCAGTAAATTTTCCGGGTAAAACATATTTCGTGGGCAGCTCATTTCGAATTTTAAATATTTCCGACTGCAATTTCTGCGGAATTATGAGCACAGGGTGTATATGACCATTATTAATGTCCGGTAACAGGTCAATGACTTCTTTTAGCACCTCATCACATTCTTCTATGTATTCATGGATTTGTTTAGTTATAATAAAGAACCGAATAGATTCTCTATAAACGAAGTAATTTTCATTCATGGTGGCGGTTATGTTATCAATTTTGCACTTTATCTCCACAAAGTGCGAATTGACTTCCTCCGTTGTTTTTTTTAGCAAATTGACCGTAGAATCAACTATCGATGCATGCTTTTTTGACAATTCTTTCAAGTCGTACTGGTTGGCTAACAGATTTCTCATATTTTTTTCCGTCGCCACACGATCATCGTCGTCCATCACACCAAATGCCCAATATTGAAAAGACCATATGAACTTCAATGGGGCTCCTCTTCTTTGCCGTTTATCATCCCTCATGAAAAACAGATTATTCGCCTTGATTTTATTTACTTTATATTCCATATTGTTTATTACCGACCAGCACTGGTCTTCAAATGTTTGGAGCCATGTAGACGAGGCCATGTGGATTTGAGAGATTGGATCAAGATATATTGCCGTCGAACTATTTAATTCTTGTACTGACGAGGCCTTAGTCGTCATAATCAGACAAAGATTTATCATCATCTTTGTTGAGTTCATTTCGACCTCCTTTTTCTGCGAATCTTCTACCTTTTCCTCTTCAGGTCTCACATCTTCGTGCTCTAATGGGCATAATTTATGTACTGGTCTTTTTTTTGGTTTCGAAAGTTCCCACGCCTCACATTCCCACCCCTGCCGACGGAGGGGGCGACCTCCCTTGACGAAGGGATCGCGTACACATCATGATCCGCATCATAATGGGAATATAGTAGGAACTCAATATACATTGAATTTTCTGTGAAATTACTGCAGTAATTAATTTTTCGAACAATTTTGGAATTGCACTTAATTTTGCAATTCCTCTATAATTTGACACATTAGTAAGACTACCAGACTCATGTAAAGGTATAATATAAGATTTTTTCCAGAAAGTAGGAAAGTGACCAAATTTAAGTGAATAATTAAACAATATAGTTAACGGAAGTGCTAATGTTTCTGTACAATATTTAAGAATTATATTAGGTATGCCATCCGGCCCTGGACATTTAATCGATTTTAAACTACGCAGACTATTGGATACATCCTGACGTTGTAGAAAAGGCATACAAATTTAATCAGCCTGTGATAACTTATAAGGATACGAATCTTTAATTTGGCAAGATGTACTGGAATAGGTTGTGGCAAAAAAATCTGCGAAACATTCAGCAATATCTGTGCCTGTGACAAATTCTTTATTGGTATATTACAATACTGAGGGCTTTGAGGAAACTTTTCGTTTTAGATTAACAAAATCATAAAAAGATTTAGGATTGGATTTAAAATTATTTTTAATCATGTCTAGGTAAAATTATACAATCTACGAGACTCTAAAGTATATTTAGATCTAGCAACAGAGTAATTAGTGTAGTCTATTGTTAAGCCTGATTTTTTATATTTACGAAAAAGCTTATTTTTAGAATTCTTTAAACTTGATAACTCAGGGGTTATCCACGGATATTTATTTGAATTTTTAACTCTAGTGGTTGGAACACATTTCAGTTTAAATCTATTTAAAATATCATAAAATTTATCAATTACATATTCTAAATCTTTACGGCTGTTACACATGCACACAGAAGCCCAATTTACGGAGGAAATGAGGGTATTAAGTTTTCAAAAATTAGTTGTTTTTGTAATTAAGGACAGTTTTAAATGAGTCAGACTGACTTTCTTCAATTACATAACTGTGAGTCATGGAGATATATAAAATTGGATGGTATATATCTTCAGGAGTGCATATTGGAGGAGTTCTGAATATATCAAAATGCTGTGTTATATTTACAAATATAAGAGCTTGTTACTTGCAATTTAGATTTGCCAAATTCAATGGAAACACCAACAAATTCTATATCAAGAAAATCATAAAGATCAATTAAATTAGTGGTATATTTGGTATCAACTGCAATAAGGACGCCACCACCTTTTTTACAAACAAGATCTTTTCTAAATATTTCATATTTTGAACATAAAATTTCACTATTTAATATAGATATTTTTAACCAAGTTTCGGAGAAAACCAATACATTATAATTGAAACCAATACTATCAGTATATAAACTGGTTAATTTTTATATTAAGCCCCCTTACATTCTGATAGCAAATAGAAAATGAGTCATTTAGTTTTTTGGCACCGAATCTGGTCTAAGAGGCAAATGAGCTAAATTAATAAATGTCCTAGCAGGCCAAAATTCTTTTAAAATTAACTGTACAAAAATATTTTCAGGCACAACGATTTTGAAAAAAGATCTACTTTCAGAAAATGCAGATCGGAGCTTATAACATCTCAAAAAGTAATCTCCCTCAATTTTTGATTTTATATAATAGCTTATGTCATCGGCCGTTGTTTCTGGTGCAAACCTTGTTGCAATTATCATTTTCATGGCGGGAGCCATAGATAATGATCTTTGGACAGGTTTAGTTTTACCAGTAGCAGTCTCGGGACGATCACTAGTAATAAGTGAAGGAAGTGATAATTCCTGTATGTCATGAGTAGATTGTGAGGTTTTCTTAGAAACCTCACTATCAATACTCATAACATCATGATTATTTACCCCTTTACCTATACCGCTGATATCTGCCGGAACTGGGTGTGTAACAACACTGGCATACGACTGTTCACGTCCAGTCTCAGTTGGTTCAGTGATATTAACAGAAACCGGTTGTGGAACAGTGTTCTCCACAGAAATTGCTTTGCGACTAGCCATTCCCTTAGTTGGTGCATTTTTCGCAGCCCTTTTGCGTTTCTGGCCAGAAACTGACGGTGACGACACAAACTCATCTAATTCTTGGTATTTCTCAAACAATATAGAAAAATTCTCAAATCAGAGTGATAGTGAGGAAACATCTTTTTTCATCGATGTCAATTCCGACTGCAAATCCTTTGCAAAATTATAAAAGTCTGCAGAGAGTTTCCTACATTGCATACAACACCAACGTTGCGTTTCTGGCCAGAAACTGACGGTGACGACACAAACTCATCTAATTCTTGGTATTTCTCAAACAATATAGAAAAATTCTCAAATCAGAGTGATAGTGAGGAAACATCTTTTTTCATCGATGTCAATTCCGACTGCAAATCCTTTGCAAAATTATAAAAGTCTGCAGAGAGTTTCCTACATTGCATACAACACCAACGAACACCAACATTATTTCTAATTATGTCTACGACTTTTGCATCAATCCTAGCACATTTTGCATGCCATTGATTAAGACAAAACCAACTGGTAACACACAATTCATCCTCTGCAACAATATTACACAATTCGAAAGGGCACGACATTTTGTTTATTTTAATTATAATTATTTTTTTTAATACACAAGTTACAACTATATTTTTCAAGATTAGATCTGTAGCTGGAAATTTATTTATTTTAATATTTTTAATTTTTTTTTTTAATGTTGGCAACTTTTATGAGATGACAAACAAAACAAGACGATATGTTACAACAACTAATTATCTAATGTAACAAAAGAAAGAGGATAAAAGGAGAATGTAAAACTACACAATTTGAAAATTGATATTACTTTAAAACACAAAACAAGATTTTAAAACACTACACCAATTATCAATTTGAGTTACAAAATCACTATTGAACACTTTTTACTATATTAAATAATTTAATAAAACATATAACTAATAATTTTTTTAAAAGCACGGAGCACCACAATTTTTTGACACTAATCACAACAGGGTTGCCAACACTTTTCTTTTATTTCTCCATTTTGTGTTTTCAACGTAACTACTCTCACTATTCCATCTTTGCCCGGTTGTACCTCAGTCACTCTCACCAATGGCCAACGAGCTTGGTGAGTCTCTTCATTTCTGATCAGCACGATCTGTCCCACTTCCAGATTGCGATCTTCTTTTCTCCATTTTGGGTGATTTTGCAAAGTAGTCAAATATTCGTCTTTCCACTTTCTCCAAAAGAGTTTTTTTATTCGTAGCAGCAGTTTCAACCTGCTCACACATGCTAAACTTCCTTCATCGATCTTCGCCGGAGCTTCTAATAACGGGCGTCCAACTATGAAATGCCCTGGCGTTAAGGTGTCGATATAGTCTGTGCCGCTTCCAAGATCATGCAACGGCCTTGAGTTTAGAACTGCTTCAATTTGAGCCAGAACCGTGCTTATCTCTTCATGCGTTAATTTTATCTCGCCAATGATTCTTTTAAGATGGTATTTCATTGAGGAGGAGCTGCCGGGGGGATAAAATGCCATTTTATTTGTTCATTCTCTTTATCTATCTTTATTATATGAAGACTATATGCAAATTTCTTCCAGTCATCACTCAATTTTCCATTCAACGGCATATCCCAATCTAATTGCTGGATCTATAACTGCTGAATAAATAGTTTTGCTGTTATGGTTACTGGTGTCAATGCAATCCAATCCAGTGGATCAAATATTTTCGCTAGACTTGACAACGCCATTCGTTTGGTCACCTTGTCTTCCTGTTTTACTTCCATACTGAATGTAAAGCAATCCATCTGTGGACTCCATTGCAATCCTAGCGTTTTCAAGCAGTTATCTTCTTGAATTTGCAATACTTAATTTTCTTCAGCCCAATTTGCAGCTCTCAATATATCCGAAGAATTTGCTATCCATTTTCTTAAATGGAATCCATACATTTCCAGTTGCTGAGCTATCTTCTCTTGTACTTCCATACATTCTAGTTTTGAATTAGCTCCTATAAGTAAATTGTCCATGTAGAAATCTTCTTTTATTCTTTTGGCTATATCTTGATTCTCGCATCGATTTGCAATTTCTATCAGCGTCCTCACAGCCAAAAACGACGCTGATGCGGTGCCATATGTCACTGTGGTGAGTTTGAATTGTTGCACTGGCTCGCTCTTGTTATTTCTCCACAGGACATATTGGTATTCTTGATCTTCTTCGTCTATGTTTATTTGTCTAAAAATTTTTTCTACATCGGCTGATATGACAAATCTCCAAGTTCTCCATTTGGTGATAATATCCAATAAGTCCTTTTGCAACTTTGGACCTGTATGCATAATGTCATTCAGAGACTTTCCATTTGGTGTTTTCGACGATGCATCAAACACCACTCTTACTTTTGCGGTTAAGCTGGTTTCACGTATCACTGCTTGATGCGGTATATAATATTTTCCTGGTTTCCTCTCATCTACTTTCACCATGTGATTAATTGTAATAAGCTCATCTACTGTTTTTCTGTATTCTGCTTTCAATTTCGGACATCCTTCTAATCTTTTCTCTAGACTTAAAAATCTCGCCATTGCTCTTTTATATGATTCTCCCAAACCTCTGTCTTCAGCAAATGGCAATCGCACTACAAATCTTTTTTTTAGACAGTAATCATCTTCTGCTATCGTTTCTTCATCTTCAATCTCTTTTATTTCCCAAAACCGTTCTATTGTCGTCGTCGCAGCTGATCTCATGTTATTTCTTCCGGATTTCATCTGAATTGTTCCGGAAAGAATCCATCCTAGTTTTGTATTTTGTGCCGCTTTCTTCTCTTCATGGCAAACACCTTCTTCCAATATTTGTTGGAAAAGGTCCGCGCCAATTACCAGATCGATTCTTTCAGATTTATCTCCCAAAACCGTTCTATTGTCGTCGTCGCAGCTGATCTCATGTTATTTCTTCCGGATTTCATCTGAATTGTTCCGAAAAGAATCCATCCTAGTTTTGTATTTTGTGCCGCTATCTTCTCTTCATGGCGAACACCTTCTTCCAATATTTGTTGGAAAAGGTCCGCGCCAATTTCCAGATCGATTCTTTCAGATTTATAAAAATTTGGATCTGCTAGAGTTATGTTTTTCCATTTTTCCAAGTCGTAATGGAAATTGTTGTCAGGATGAGCTGATGCTAATTTCGGCAAGACTAGTGCTTCCGTTATAATTTTAGTGTTGCTGAAAAATCTCGGCCTTATCTACAGCCATACTTTAGATTTCGCGACGCCCACCATGGTATCTCCTAGACCTCGTAATCTCACCTCAGTTCTTGATACAGAAGTTATCTGTGATCCTTGATCTATCAAGGCTCTTAAAGTGATATATTATCCATTCCAAGATTTGACTCGAACTTGAGCTGTAGTAAGAAGAATATTTGTTATTGCATGTGTGGTCATGGATTTTGTGTTGCTTGTTTTTTCCAAGTGGACTAATGTGTTATGCTGTAATCCACACTTCTGGCATTTGGAATCGCTCAGGCATCTTTTGTCTTTCCAGTGCTTAATACATCTGAGGCACATTTGAGCTGCTTTCACCCAACTAAATCTATCGTTTGCAGGTTGTGCCGCAAATTTTCTACAAGCCACAACTTCATGTCCAATCAGCTTACAAAACCTGCATTGCCTCTTTTCCGACCCTCCGGATTTTTTGCTCGTTGATGCTTTCAAGGCCTGGTATTGCTGTTCTAAGAAGTCTATTACATCTTCGAGTGTTTGGATCTCCTTTGATTTCTTTTCGTTCTGCTCATATTGAATGAGTCCATCTTTATCCACTTTCCTTATTACGCATGTTCTAACTTTATATCCATTGCTCTCAACGCATGTATGCTTTCGTTAACGCTTTCTACCAAATTTCGTATGCTTGCTGCAGATAGACTGTTTATATTCGGGTGATCCAAAATTTTATCAACCAATTTCGTAAACAAAGTTCGTTTGTTGTCATAGCGTTTTTCTAATAGTTCCCACGCTGCTCTGTAGTTTGCGTCTGTCACCTGCAAATGTTGCACCAAACGAAAAGCCTCTCCTCTCAGATTAGTTATGAGGTAGTATAACTTTTGTACCTCAGATAGTTGAGCGTTGTTATCAACCAATTTCTTAAATAAATCGTGGAAGGCACTCCATTTCTCCACATTTCCATTGAAACATGGAATCTGTATTCTTTTTAATTCCACTTCCTGAGATTCTTCTTTTAGGCCACCTATCTTTAAACTAATATTACAGTATGTCAAGAATGACTTTACACATGCATAATTATTAAACATTTTCAAATGTAGATGCTTGAAATAACACTTATTATATTATTTTTGATATTTATTGGCTATTTATAATAATTGTGTGATGCACATAATACAGTTTGAGTAAACGAAAATAAAATTTAGTGCAAAATAAAAGAACAGTACAACAAAAACAAATATGGCTCTGTTTTACCAGTGTCAAATAACTCTTTACACATCTCTTGTTTTTTTGTTATTGTGAGCACTGTATGAGAGAGAGACTTAGCGTTTATTGAAACAACTATGGACGCACAACAATATTTAGATATTTTAAAGAAGCATTTGGTAACCAGTGCTATGAACTTTGGGTTCATCAGGGACAACAAGCCACATTTTAAATTTTATCAGGATAATGATCCTAAGCATAGGTCACATATAGTGCGGATGTGGCTTCTATATAACTGTGACAAAATTTTGGATACGCCAGCCCAAAGTCCCGACCTTAACCCAATAGAAAATTCGTGGGCCTATTTAAAAAAAGGTGGCTAAACGGCAACCAAAAAATATAAAAGCATTAAAAACTGCAATATTGGATTAGTGGCAGAACATTCCGAACAATTATGACTTGCAAAATTGGTCCACTCGATGAAAAAACGTCTACAATGTGTAGTAGATGCAAAGGGTGGCCATACAAAATATTAAAACTATGAAAATGTGTTCATCAATATTATTATTTTTATATTATATACCTTAACATTTACTTCTTGTGAAAAGAGTTAATTGACAATGTTAAAATTGAATATTTTTTGTTTATGTTATATTTTTTTATGTTTTTAAACTGAAGTTGCTATTTTTTTGCATTTTATCTCTGTACATATGTATACAATTATAAAAAAATGAAAAAGATAACTTTATTAAAAAATAATGTATGTTTATTACTAATAAAGTTGAAAAAATTTATTCTTGACATACTGTATTTATTTTCGTATTCATTTTCCTTTCAATATCTTCCAATTCATCATCCACCTCTTCCATTCCATGTTCTGTTGTTAATTCTAAATGCAGTCGTTTGATGTCGTCGAATTGCTTTTCCCATGAAACCTTCATATTTTCCAGAGCATATTTACTTACTCCTGAAATATCTTCTTCTATGGAGTCTGAAAGCTTCAGGATCTTTCTTCTGAATTGGGAAAGCACTGCATTTTTCTTATCACTGCTCGCATGTGTGGTTACAATGGCTAGTTTTCCATCTCCTTCTTCGCCTTCTTTATTATTTCCATATGGATGTTGAAACTGCAGCATCTGCCTCATTTGCTTTTGTATAGATTTCTGCATTTGTTCCTGTTGTATCTTCATTTGCTCTTGTTGTTTTTGCCATTGTTCCTGCTGCATTTTGAACTGGGTTAGCATACTTTCCTGTAACGCTCGAAATTGTTGCTCCATTGCCACATTGTGATTCTCGGGCTTCTTTACTGTCCCAAGATTTTCGAGCGCTTCTACTTTCCGACGGCCCTGTTCCACTATTCCCATCTCTGGCTTTTCGGGTTCATCTTTAATTTTTTGTATTAGCTCCTTGCGTTCTTCGTAATAGCTCTCGATTCTGCCCCATATGTTCTCTTTAAAATATGGTTCATCTTTTTGTTCATATAATTCTAATTTCGCTTGATTTGTCCTGGCTTCCTGCATTTTGTTCTCCAGTGACTTTGAATTTGCTTCTAAAGCAACCTTCCTAGTCGTTCCCGATTTCAGCTTCTCTGAAATCTCTAATATTTCCTTGAGGATTTGATTCTGGATTTTATATAAGGTATATCTCTCTGCTGACAATTTTATTAGCTTCTTTGGATTAATAATTGGTTTACTTTAATATTTGCCTTTAGGCCTCTCTTAGCCTCTTTGGCTTTTTAATTTTTTGAAATTTTCTTTTTTTTCTCTAAAATATTTTTTTTTCTATTGGATAATATCCTTGTTTCTTAATTCTTCACTATTTTCTCTGTTTTTTTATAATATTCTTTTCACTGTAACTTTCACAATTATTTTTTCAAATAGAATTCTTTCTTAAATTATATATATATATATATATATATATATATTTTTTTTTTTTTTTTTTTTTTTTTTGGATAATATTCTTTTCAATGTGACTTTCACAATTATTTTTTCAAATAGAAATCTTTCCTAAATTAGATTTTTTTTTTGAATGTGCACACTTTTCCGGTCACTGATTCTTTTTTCTCTTTCGAAAGACCACTGTTTACGCGCGTATCCGGCTTGGATGTTGGTTGAGTACAAATTTTATTTAACAAAAAAATTGTCCTTAATAGCTACATATGTTATTCGAACTCAGCCTAATGCAAGCTAATAATAATTCGTATCTCTTCCTCCTTAATCCAGTGATCTTCATGTTCATGTTCATATTTTTATGGACATTAGGAATCGAAAATATTTTGACAATGTCATAAAATAATTTCAGCTCTTCTTTAGTTGAAAACTTAAAATTGTTTTGTTGTAAGCATTGTGTCATAAAACATCTAAATAATAAATGTTTACTTCGTGTTTGTAATAAACATAATCTGGATTGTCTTTGCTATGGGCTTCTACAAAAATTGCACATATTGATGTCTGTAAATAATTTTAGTTCTAAACCGTGCAACAAGCCATCCCAGGATAGTGATTGTACTGTTAATTACTGACAAAGATGAAGGCTATGGTGACGAAGGCATACATTTCAAAAGTTTTCAAACACATCAGCCAATAGCAAAACATTTGTTTTTAAATACAAATCTAGAAAGTCCTTGGCAGTTTTACATTCAATGTGTATCCATGCATTTTGCGGTGTCTATAATCTCTCAACGAATATTTACTGTCAGTCAACTTATTGTAAAACGGATTTCGGTCTGTCTTTCTGATAATTTATCGAAATAATATATGTATTCATACGGAAAAACAACTTTTCTTAATGTTAGCATCTTTTGAAAACTGTGAACGAATAGCTTCAAATGCATTTTAGGCAGATTTTTAGCTAAATCTTCCAAACTGGAAGACATTGGAAAAATTGTGGGGGAATATGTATATACCTTGTGGGGTCTAAAACGTATATTTCTCCATACTATGGTGGAGGGTATAAAAATGTATACTTAAAATATCTGGCAAACAATTGTTGGACATATATTGTAATTGTAAAGCGAATTCAAATTATTTTGACAGCAAATGTAGGTATTAGCTGGTCTTCCTTTTCGACCTTACAATTGGGTCATGTTTCAGGCCAAGGAAAAATAAATAAAAAATAGAAAAGATTTTCATTTTTTTTGGTGACTCATACTTAGATTTAATGAAGAATATTCTTGTCTTTGACGTTATCCTTCTAGAAAGATTTTTTGTAAGATAGTCCTGCATAAATTCACATAAAGAATGCAATTCCTGGCGTTTAGGTAAGATTTAGACTTTTATTGTCTTCTGCAACCTATAGTAGACAATTCTTCTGTTCTGTAATATTGCC